TAGAAATCATGCTTACAGTTGTGTTCAAAATAAAAGCAGTCAGAGATCACTAACCTGATCAATCACTGTTTTTGGTAGAAATGATATTTCTACATGGCAAATAATTTACTAGCAGGTGTAGTAGAGTAATAGAAATCCAACAGACCCAACATCATGACATGCATGCTGCTGATTCTGTGTAATTGAATCACTAATTGAAAGGGGCATGTTCAAAATAATAGCAGTGTGGAATTCTATTAGTGAGGTCATTCATTCTTTGAAAAACAGGTGGCAATTATTGCCCTTATTTAAGGAAGGAAGGCAGCAAATGTTGTACATGCTGGTTACAGTGCATTTCTCTCTGAAATTCTGAGGAAAATTGGTCGTTCCAGACATTGTTCAGAAGAACAGCATACCTTGATTAAAAAGTTGATTGGAGAGGGTAAAACATATAATGAAGTGCAGAAAATGATAGGCTGCTCAGCTAAAATTATCGCAAATGCTTTAAAATGGCAACCAAAACCTGAAAGACGTGGAAGAAAGCGAAAAAACTACCATTCGAATGGATAGAATAGCCAAAATGGCAAGGACTCAGCCAACAATCAGCTCCAGGAAGATGAAAGAAGGTGTGACGTTCCCTGTGAGTACTGTTACAATTAGAAGACCCCTATGTGAAGCCAAGCTATCTGCAAGAAGCCCCGCAAAGTCCCACTGTTGGAAAAAAGACATGTGCTGAAGAGGTTACAATTTGCCAAAGAGCACATTGACTGGCCTAAAGAGAAATGGCGCAACATTTTTGTGCACTGATGAAAGTAAGATTGTTTCTTTTTGGGTCTAGTGGCCGGAGACAGTTTGTCAGACGACCCCCAAACACTGAATTCAAGCCACAGTACACTGTGAAGACAGTGAAGCATGGTGGTGCAAGCATCATGATATGGGGATGTTTCTCATACTACGGTGTTGGGCCTATTTATCGCATACCAGGGATCATGGATCAGTTTGAATACATCAGAATACTTGAAGAGGTCATGCTGCCTTATGCTGAAGAGGAAATGCCCTTGAAATGGGTGTTCCAACAAGACAACGACCCCAAACACCAGTAAACGTGCAACATCTTGATTCCAGACCAACAACATTGACGTTATGGAGTGGCCAGCCCAATCCCCGGATCTTAATCCAATAGAAAACTTGTGGGGTGACATCAAAAATGCAGCTTCTGGGGCAAAACCAAGAAATAGAGAAGAACTGTGGAATGAGTCCAATCATCCTGGGCTGGAATACCTGTTCACAGGGGCCAGAAGTTGGGTGACTCCATGCAACACAGATGTACAGCAGTTCTCAGAAACAGTGCTTACTACAACCAAATATTCATTAAGTGATTCAAAGGAAAGCAAAATCTTCAAACATTTTTCAGTTTATATAGTGAATGTTTGAGTTTGTAAAGAAGAATACAAACACTGCTATTTTTTTGAACAGTCTAATATTCACTTTTCTTCAATTTTTTTAGAGGAACAACACAAATTTGATAAATTTTTCTCCATGTTTTGATTTGGAATAGAATGTGTCGTGTTCCCAATGCATTTGTGTGTGTGGAGATAAAAGCTATTAGAAGGATTTTGAGCTTTATTCACTTTTTTCAACACACTGCTATTATTTTGAACACAACTGTACCTTGGTTGATGCAGCATCGGACCTGTTCCCTGGCAGCTCTAAGGCTGTGAACTGAGTGATCAAAGACCGCTGATTGCTCAGTTCTCAATGCCCCGTGACTGTCAGTCACTGCTCTCTGCTCTGTCCCAAACCACCCCCCCAGTGCTGGGCTATGGAGGGGCAGGAGTGGCCGGCTCAGGCTCTCAGCAGATCGCTGAGAGGCTAAGGCAAATTCTAGTCCATGCTCCTAGGTGGATCCCGACCATATTGTCAGGATATTTCCCCAGCCCGGATCAGCTTTTTTTAATTTAATTAATAATAAAATGATGGTATACTTACCTGCCCTGTGCAATAGTATTGCAAAGAGCAGTCCCGAACCACCTTCTCTGTAGTCCCCAGTCTGCTCTTCCTTCCTGAGGGTGCCTCTTAGCACCTGGCTTGCTTGTGGGCACACTCTCAAGCTGGGCTTTGTGCGTCCATAGACACACACAGTGCTGGTAAGCTGTGCCTCCTGCTCTTTCCTCACAGGGGTTTGACGGACAGCAGCGGGAGCCTATGGCTCGCCCTACCCTCAGTGTCTCCTGTGAGAAAAGGTAGTGAGGAGAGAAGGGCTGCAGGTGAGGACAGCGCTGGATTGGTTAAAGGAGCCAGGTAAGTGTTTAGGGTAGGTAGTGGAGCATTTAGGTAAACAAACATTTTGACTTTGGAACCACTTTAAAGAGGTACTTCATTTGCCTTTTGTATTAGCCCCACCCCCTTTCCAGTGCTGCCATCTGTACTATTCTTCTGCATATGCAGATGTGCTGAAAGGGCTCTGCCCAGCCACTGAATCCCGACAGAGCCTTGGGGAAAATCTGCACATGGTAGTTTACATGCATGCGCAGATATGGCACTTCCATGCATGTTCCATTGTTGTGCATGCGCAAGAACCTCATGCATGCGCAGATGTGCCGCAGAGCTCTGCTGGGACCCAAAACCTTGTGGTACATTTGCGCACCAACTCCACAATGTTGAACAATATGCCATATATGCACACATGGCTAGCATTATGCAGCTCAGCTTTAAAGGGGAACTTCAACCCCACATCCTCCTCACCCCACCCTGGGGGGTAATATTGATTTTAACCCTACCTTGTCGGCTAGGTTGAACTACAGCATGTTCCCAATCTCTGACCAGGGGCGGACTGACAACTCATGGGGCCCCCGGGCAATAGGGGATCATGGGGCCCCTATGTCCTTGCCCAAACTCAAAAAAGCCTATGAAAAAAGGTACCAGGGGCATCTCATGGGGCCCCCTACTGACCCCGGGCCCTTGGGCAGTGCCCGAGTTTCCAAATGGTCAGTCCACCCCTGTCTCTGACAGTCTCCTTCAGCATGCCCATAGTCTCTAAACATCTCCTGCAACATGCTCCCATTTTCTAGCCATCTTCTGCAGCATGACCGTAGTCTCTAACCCTCTGTTGCAGCATGCCCGTAGCCTTTGATCATCTCCTGTTGCATGTCTGCAGTCTCTAACTATGGTGTCTTACCAATGGTTAGCTGGCAGCTAGCTAACAAAACTGACAGAAGTATCATTCCAAAACTGTTATTTCTTCTGTGAATAGTTCTGCAAAACTGCAATACAATCACATAAACTGAAGTTGCAATATGCTTGCATATATGTCTCTCACAAATGTATAGAATAAACACATTTCTTGCAAACAGCTACCTACAAATCACATTAGATACATGGAAATACAATCTAGATATATACAGTGCCTTGAAAATTTTCATACTCCTTGAAATTTTCCACATTTTGTCACCTTACAACCAAAAACGTCAATGTATTTTATTGGGATTTTAATATTATTATTATTATACAGGATTTATATAGCGCCAACAGTTTGCTCAGCACTTTACAAAATGAAGGGAGCCAATACAGCAACAATACAGTTCAATACAAGAGGGTTAGGAGGGCCCTTTTTATGTGATAAAGCAACACAAAGTGGCACATGATTGTGAAGTGGAAGGAAAATGATAAATGGTTTTCACAAATAAATCTGTGAAAAGTATGGCGTCCATTTGTATTCAGCCCCCCGAAGTCAATACTTTGTAGGACCCCCTTTCGCTGCAATTCCAGCTGCAAGTCTTTTTGGGGATGTCTCTACCAGCTTTGCACATCTAGAGAGGGACATTTCTGCCCATTCTTCTTTGCACAATAGCTCAAGCTCTGTCAGATTGGATGGAGAGCGTCTGTGAACAGCAATTTTCAAGTCTTGCCACAGATTTTCAATTGGATTTAGGTCTGGACTGTGATTGGGCCATTCTAACACATGAATATGCTTTGATCTAAACCATTCCATTGCATCTCTGGCTGGATGTTTAATGTTGTCCTGCTGGAAGGTGAACCTCCGCCCCAGTCTGTTTTCTGCCGACTCTAACAGGTGTTCTTCTAAGATTGCCCTGTAATTGGCTCCATCCATCTTCCATCAACTCTGACCAGCTTCCCTGTCCCTGCTGAAGAAAAGAATCCCTACAATATGATGCTGCCACCACCATGTTTCACGGTGGGGATGGTGTATTCAGTATGATGTGATGTTAGTTTTCCACCATACATATCATTTTCCTTTTAGGCCAAAAAGTTCAATTTGACCAGAGCACCTTCTTCCACATGTTTGCTGTGTCCCCAATAGTCTCTGACCATCTCCTGACCATCTCCTGTAGCATGCCCATAGTCTCTGACCATCTCGTGCTGCATGCCCATAGTTTCTGACCATCTCGTGCAGCATGCCCATAGTCTCTGACCATCTCGTGCAGCATGCCCATAGTCTCTGACCATCTCGTGCAGCATGCCCATAGTTTCTGACCATCTCGTGCAGCATGCCCATAGTCTCTGACCATCTCGTGCAGCATGCCCATAGTCTCTGACCATCTCGTGCAGCATGCCCATAGTTTCTGACCATCTCCTGCAGCATGCCCATAGTCTCTGACCATCTCCTGCAACATGCCCATAGTCTCTGACCATCTCCTGCAGCATGCCCATAGTCTCTGACCATCTCCATCTCAGGCAGCATGTTCCCAGTCTCTGACCATCTCCTGCACCATCTTTACAATCTTTAATCATCTCCCGCAGCATGCCCTTGGTCTTTGATCATCTCTTTTTCCATGTCTGCAGTCTGCTTCCTGTAGCATTAGATTCACTAAATAGTATGTGCGGCCCTTTGATGTAGGGGGCACACTTGAGGCCCCCTATACCAAGTAAGTCTACTCCTGCTGGTAGAGACAGTGAAACCTTTTTGGAGAGGTTGTACATGATAGACATTTGTTTTTCCTCAGCCCAGTTAACAATACCATTACATGTAAATTTTGTTTCAATGTATTTCTCATGTACAGGTCTCCGGTGCTACTCAAAGTTCCACCGCAATCAAAGAGTGACACGGAGGAAAGGGCGCTGCGTGGACCCAGAATCCATCAACAAAGACCAAGGATCGTTTATTTCTGTCTGACCGGACTGTAACACCGCATTCTACCTACTGCCATGTAGCAGGCGTCCTTCACTGTCACTGTCCCCGACTGACAAGGACGTCTTTTTTATTTACATGATAATTCTAGATATTAGGGCTGGAGGAACGGCGGTTTGTTTGCCGGTAGCTCGGGAAATGTTTATTTATTGGATGGTTTGTTTTAATGAAGGGCTCCAGTCTGAACCTTTTTTTTTCTATAGCCACTTATGGCAGAATATTTTAGATCTCAAAATATCACTTATTAGCAAATTCATCTCTGAAAATGATGGCGGGCGGGGGATATGCAAATGATCTGATCTTTAAAGCAGGTACCCAGACTGGTTAATTGTCTCTTCCCACTTCCTGCTTTAAAGTAAACTTTTCACAAATCCAGATGCTGGAAATTTAACATATAGAAAAATGCATAAGCAGTGATTATGTTCAGTGAAAATAGCATGTTAATACAATTAAATCCAGATATATAGGGGGTCTGTTTGCAAAACAATTTGTCATGCATTTGTCTCAGCATTCGCACAGCTGTCCCCAATAATCCCCCATTGTGTGTAGCAGAATTTTTCCTGTGATCGTCAGCGCCATCTACTGGCCACAATGCAGTATTTTCCTGAAATACCTCAACCAGGAAAATACCACCTCTTTGCTACTTTTATTTTTAATCCCGGGCAGGGGGGTTATTTTTTAAAAATGCACCGCAAGCGTTTTGCTTGCCGTTGCAGCTTACTCCCATTGACAGGCAATGTGAAAGAACCCTAAGATTCTAAAATCTTTTATTTATTCAATTTGGATTTCCGCTCCACTGACTTCTTAAATAATCCCAGTAGGGTTACAAAATTAATGTCTTAAAATGACTTCTGTGCCCGCAGTGGGGCGAGGACGGGGAAGGGGGTGTATTTTGTATTTTGTGATCGGAAACATCCTAAGGACCAACATGTTCTGTCTTTCCTGTATTTTCTACTTGCGTATGAAGTGTAGAAATCGTATTGTTGTACAAAACCTCCTTTTGAACTGGTAGACTAGTTGGACAAAAAACTCACCAACGAGGTTCTCTGATGCTGTTTGCTTTTATTATTCTGTAAATAAATAACAGGTTGTTACTTTGTAATCTCTGGTTTGTAAGTCAATCAATAAAAAAAATACAAGTTTGAAAGTTGGCTGGAGAGATTTGACTTTAGAGCCGTCTTTGCCCACTACATATCCACATTAGGGAGACTGATGGGTGAGCAAAGTGTCATGGGTGTATATAGCACTTCTGAGATATGGAGAACTCTAAATATATATTTAAGTATGTTTCACATCAGGGCTGCCAGTACCCCCTATACAGGTACAGCCAGTACCCCTGTGCTGAGACCAATCCCCATTGGGTCAGCAAGGGCCTGGGTTCAACCATGGTGCCACCTTTCCTTGGATCTTCTATTGGATACCCTCTTGCTACGTACATACTATCCTTTGTATCCTCATAATCTGAGTACAGATCATTGCCCTACTTTGTATGTGGCCCTCTTTATGGGCCCCATTCAGGATGCCTCTCTTTTATTTTTGGTGCTCTTCCCATCTTGGTGTCACCTTTCCTCGGGCCTTCTATTAGCTGTTAGTTTGGTTCTGGCCAGCTCAGTGGATTGCTTTAAAAAAAAGTCCTGGATTCTTTCCTAGATACACAGAATATAACTGGATACTAACATTCATAGGTATAGTTGATCCAGGGAATATCCGATTTCCTCTCAGGGGATCAGGAAATAATTTTTTCTCCTGCAGGAGCAAATTGGATCATGCTTTGCTGGGGTTTTTTTTGCCTTCCTCTGGATCAACTGTGAGTATAGGATAACTTTTTTTAATTTTTGAACTGGATGGACTTTTGTCTTTTTTCAGCCAGACTACATACGTAACTGTCTCCTTTCTACATACCAACCTTAATGCCTTCTTAATCTGAGTGCAGGTCATTCTTCTTTGTATGTGGTCCTCCCATTTGGATGGCCCTCCCTTTTATTTTCAGCAGCTCCTCTCATCTTGGTGTGGTGCCACCTTTCGTTGAGTCTTTTATTAGATGTCTCCTTGCTACATACCATCCTTGAAGCTTATTTAATCTGACTGAAGGTCATTCTCCTTTGTATGTGGTTCTCCTGTTTGGCTCCATCCAAGGGCCCCCTCTTTTTTGGCAGCTCCTCTTACCCTGGTGTCACTTTTCCTTGTATTGGATGTCCTCTTTCTATATTCTGTCCTTGGTGCCCTCTTAATCTGAGTTCAGGTCATTGCCTTTCTTTGTATGTAGCCCTTTTGCTTGGCTCTATCCAGGGGGCCCCTCTTTTTAAGTTTTAACAGCTCCTCTCACCCTAGTCCCATCCTTCCTGGGATATTCTATTGGATGTTCTCTTACTACATACCATTCTTGGTGTCCTCCTAATCTGAGTGTAGGTTATTGTCTTCCTTTTGTTTGTTTCCCTCCTGCTTGGCTCCATCCAGGGTACCCCTCTTTTTTTTATTTTTGGCAGCTCTCTCATCCTGGTGCCACCTTTCCTTGGATCTTTTATTGGATGTCTCCTTGCTACATGCCATCCCTGGTGCCCTCTTAATCTCGGTCATTGTCCTCCTTTCTCTATGGCCTACCTGCTTAGCTTCAGCCAGGTGCCCCTTTGTTTTTTTATAATTTGTCAGCTTCTCTCATCTTAGATATGTGATCTGGTCAATGCATCTCCTGCAGAAGATGCCACCCCTAGTGTAGCAGGGATGGATATCAGATATAGGCAGCCCACAGTGGCCCCCAGGCTCCATGATCTTACAGTGCACATCCTCCCTGGAGATGGTGCAGGTTGGGCACTGGGAGAGCAGATGGTAAAGATCCAGGCCTTGGTGAGGTACAGCGATTTGGTGGATCTGTAGAGTGGTTGTCATCCCATGATTCATGCCCTGTAGATTGGGATGACCTGGGAGACTGAAGAGGCAACTGGGGCACAGGTAGTTTACGCTGTCATGCGCTGTGCTGAAAAAAGTAGCGTATGCCATGCTTTTTTTTCTCAGCGCACATCACCGCAACACCGTGATGTGAACTGACTCCATAAAAAACAAGTCAAATTTCCTCGTCTTTGCATGGGACTGTGCTGAGCAAGGCTGCCAGATTTGTCCAATGAAAATGGAATGAACGGCCCTAAAGATTTTCTGACAGCACAGCTAAGCTATCCAGAGGCATACTGGGATATCTGGGAACCTCCTCCAGGGGCTGGGAATATCTCACGTTAACACTGAATAAGAGATTCCTGGACGCCTACAATACATTCCCTAATTGTTTCATCACTGTTCTCATTGGCATGCTCTATCAACACTGCCAAAAAAGGTTGTGAATGGAAGAGCTGAAAACTCAACATACACGTGAGTCATTGACAACATTCTGCAGGTCAAAAGACACTCAAAAAATGCTTTGAAATAGTGTCCATATGTATGAGCCTTAAACAAAAAAAAGCTGGAGTCTGTGATCTGACAATATGCAAATTTGCTGTCGGTTTTACACTGGCTGGATCTACACTGAGCCCCAGGAGGTTCACAAATACTAATTAAAGGGCATATGGTGAAAAATTATGACTCAGCAGAGTTCAGTCACAATGGAGCGTGAAAATTGCCATGTTTGTAAAGAAATAAATGAGCAGAAGATGTAGGGGGGACTACAATCTACACGGGAGCTACTGCAAGCCTAGACTAGAGACAGGTCCTCTTTCTGCACAATCATACTCAACCTGTGTTAAACTAACCCTAACTTGTCCCACCTGCCCATCTGACAGGAATCATTGTACCCGTAGCCTCAACTAACACAGAGCCCAAAAGGAGTACAGTTGGCAGTTTTTGTTCATGGCTGGGGCCCCTGAGAGTCAGAGTTCATTCACACTTCAAGACATAGTAAAATGCATTGCCACAATGCATGGCAACTCTCCTGCTCTATGTAGGACACTGTTGGTTCATCCATTGGTAATAACACTCCCAACACACTCTATAGTAGAGTGCAATGTACTGCAGCACATATCATGCGTTGTGATGCTCTGCATTTTGAAAAAAAGAGTCATGTCAGCTTTTTCATCTGTTGTAGTGCATTGGCAGCCCATTCATAATGATGTCATGCATAGTATAATATGCCATAACACACCACAGTGGATCTCTTTGGGGTGAATGGGCCCTCATTTAGAATATCAGAACACCAGACCCCAGCTCCAGGTGAGATAACACTTTTGGCAGACTGTCCTACCATTGCTGTCCTCGCCTTCTTAAAATGCCATTAGGCTGGCTGTCATGCTAAATTTCTGTCTTCATTTCTTAGCCCTGATTCACACTTAATGCAACTTTGAAATCGCGCTACTTCACTTTCACTGTACCTCCGATTTCACTTCATTTAACAGGAGTCAATGCAAGTTGTAATGAAATCGGGAAAAAAGTAGTGCAGGAACTATTTTTGAAATCATGCCATAGAAATACATTAGATGCAACTTCAGGTGCGATTTGTAAATCTTATGTCGCACGTAAAGTCACACTGGTATTAAACAATAATACGCAACATTTCCTATTCCTCATATGTGCCTGCTGTACCATGTACTTGTATGAAAAAGTCTCCTGTTCTCTTTGTATTGTATCCTTTGTGTGAAATCCCTGATGGTCCTGCCAGTCCTTTTGCATTCCTATTAACCACTTCCAGACCGGACACTTTCACCCCCTTCCTGTCCAGGGCAATTTTCAGCTTTCAGCGCTATCACACTTTGAATGACAATTGCGCGGTCATGCAACACTGTACCCAAATGAATTTTTTTACCATTTTTTTGAGACAGATAAAGCTTTATTTTGATGGTATTCACCTCTGGAATTTTTTTTTTTTTTTGCTATGTAAATGAAAACGTCCGAAAATTTTGAAAAAAAGTGTTTTTTTTTTTAAATTTTGCAAATAAATAATATTTCATCATAAATCTTGGCCAACATGTATTCCGTTACCTTTTTAGTAAAAAAAAAAAAAAAAA